GTTTAACACTTTCTGTGTTCTATTGTTTTCTGATTTAACACATTCTGTGTTAAAACTAACATAAAATGTGTTATCTTTAACTCGACATAGAAATATTTAAACACATTTTGTAACACAGTGTTGTCTCTAACTGAACACACTGATGTGTTATTTCAAATAATACTTCTACTCATTTATATTTGTACAGGAACTAATCTAAGTTGATGATTACACTTTAATCATTAACTTTTAGATGCTAATTCTATCCTGTTTTGTTGGTTCGGTATATGTACAGTTTTGTGATTGGTCACGTTTCTGACTTTTGAGGTATATCATTAATTTTAGGCCAAAATTGCATCCAAATAAGAAGAATAGAGTCTAACAAACTTTAGGTCCCATGCTGAAAGGTTCTGGACAGTCTGTTTTTGTGTTTTCATTGTGCTGTAAGCATCTGGCTCAGATACACCAAAAGAACATCACAGTGTGTGTCTAATTTTCAATACAGCATGTTGAATGGAGTTAGGTCATTAGTATTGTATAACATGTTCCAACAGAGAAAAAGGGCATGTCTGATTTACCAAACATTTCCTATGTCCTGACTCACTCTTACTGACACACATTAACACAACAGCTAACAGTCGTTCTTTTCTTAAGTTATTCCCGTTTGCTTGCAGAACACATCTAGTTCAGAAATAGTCAGGCGTCTTGTATGCACATCATGTTCGAAATCTACCCACGGGTCTTTACCTTTCAATTACCAAAGTAAATCAGGGTTGATTTTCATATATGTTTTGGGTCATTATCTTGTCAGCCTCTTCTTCACTTTCTTGACTTAATGTGTCACATTTGCTTCCAGATTTTGCTGATATTTAGTGGAATACTTTTTCTTCTATCCCCGTAACATTGCCTGTACCACTGGTTGCCACACAACCCCAAAGCATAATAGATGCACTGCTATGCTTAACAGTTGGCAAGGTGTTCTTTTCATCAAATGCTGCTATTTTTTCCTCCAAACATACCTGTTGTGGTTGTAGCTTAAGAGTTTTTGTTTATCTGTCCACAGCATTTTTTTCCAAAATGTGTTGCATTGTACACTTTTGTGACGAGGTCACAGTTAAGGTTTTCTTTTGATGCCTATTTCATGTAGATGACATTTGTCCAATAACACTGCACAGAGGGCCAGGGCACTATTTGTGCACCAGCAAAATTGCCTGTAGGTCCTTAGCAAGCCTGTGGGCATTTTGCTTTGCATACCTGACCAGTCAAAGAGCAGTTTTTCAGAGATTTTTCTTGGTATTCCAGATCTACATTCAGCAAGTGTTTAGATACATATCATAGTCATAGTCAAATTCTGTATAAAGGTATTTCTTTTCTAGTATAAATTGTAATTTGAAATTACAATATTCCAATACTGTGTCCATCTGGTATGTATTATTTAGACGTGTTGCGTGGCTAAAACTCAGCCTGTTACAAAATCTATGAAGGCACAGAGCAGAGTTTTCTTTTTTTCTTTTACAGAAAAAAGTTATTGTACTCTGAGTGATGGGTTATTCATCTGAGTTTTATTAGACAACAAATTTATTTCTCAGTTATGATTTTTTCCCCAGACTGTACACCAATAAGGACATTTATCATTATGACAAGAGTTGAGAAGCAGCCTGAGTGTTTTTCCTCTCTCTCCTTCCTCTCTCACACTCGTTATTCCATGCCTCTTTCTCCTCCATCTGTCTGTTTCTAAATATTTGGCTATCTGTGACTTCAGTGTGTCCTCTCCATCTGCACCGAGATGGAGACGAGCAAGTGTGTTCGTGTGAGCGTGTGTACGTTTTCTGGAGAAGAAAGTGATTGTTCGGAAGAAACAAAATCAATGAAAGAGAAAAAAGAAGCAATGACTGTGAGGCGAAGAAGAGTGTGTGAGACAAAGTGCACACACACACACAGAAGCAGCCTTTTGATGGTGGTGAGGCAGCGGACCATGAGGAGCATTTTTAATGTGCGGCTCATGAAAGCAGAGAGAAAGAGAGAAAAGAGAGAGACATTGAAGAGAAGAAGAGAGATGAAAGTAAAAGTGAGAGAGAGAAAATGTGGAGAAAGAGCAAGAGATAGAGATGAAAAGAGGCCAAAAGATGGCAGAAAGAGGAGAGAATTAAGAGATACTGAAGGAAGGAATGGAGCGAGAAGGAAAACTAACACAAGAAACGGCAGGAGAGAAATAGATTGGGAGAGAGAGAGAACCCAAAGGAAGAAAAACAAAAAATCAGAAGAGAGAGAAACAGAAAAGAGAAAAAACGAGAGGGGGAGAGAGAGAGAGAGAAACAGAAAGAGGAGAAAGGGTGACAGAGCAGAAAAGAGTGCAAAAAACACAGAAAAAGAGGAGACAGAGGAAAAAACAGAAGGGGAAAGATAGAGAAAAAGCAGGAGAGAAAGTGAGAGAGAAGGAATAGGAAAAACAGGAAGGTCAGGAAATAGAGAAGGAGAAAGAAAGAGAAAAAGCAGAAGAGACAAAAAGAGAGAACTTGAGGGAAAAAGAGAACAGAAGGTAGAGAAAGAAAAAAGAAAGAAAAACAAAGAGAGGGGAAAGGAGGGAGAGAAATGGATTGGGAGAAGGAAAGAAAGAGAAAGAATAAGAGAGAGAGAAGAAGAGAAACAGAAGGAAAAGGCATGGGACAATGAAAAGAAAGAGGTGAAAAAGCAGAAAAAAGAGGAAAAGCAAAAGAGACAGAAATAGAGAAGCATGAAGAGAAAAGTGGAGGAAAAGGTGGAAAGAAAAAGCGAGAGAGAGAGAGAGAGAGCGCACTGAGGGGGAGCAGACAGTGTGTGTGCAGACACAGAGGAGAGCAGAAGCGACAGAACAAGCGGACAAGTGCACGGGATGGAGTGACCCGTGGAGAGGGAGAGAGAGAGCGAGCACGGCGTGGCGTGTCGGCAGCAGAGGAGCAGTGAGCCGCTGCCACACACTCGCGCTGCTCCGGATGGTGAGGAATGAGCGCGGCGCCACACACAATCACAGTGGACGAGAGAGAGGGAGAGAAAGGAGGAGCGGGAGGCAGAGAGAGGGGCGTGTTTGATTGACAGGACGAGGAGGCGGGACTTAAAGGCAAGTTGATGAATCTTGGTGTTCCAGTGGCTGCTGTTTATCAGAGGAAGAAGTGCAAGACCACGGGCAGCGGCTGGAGAACACCACTGAAACGAGGGAAATAAAAGAGAGGAAAAGAGAGAGGGGGGGCGCTGAAATCAGAGCGTGTCAGAACAGATTTCACATCAGCGGCGGTCCGCTCTCCTGCAGGCAAGAGCCGTGTGTGTGTGTGTATGTGAGAGAGTGAGCTAGCGTGAAGTGTAGCCTTCACACCAGGCAGCTGCTCTTACTCACCCACAGAGAGAGGGCAACTGAGGAGAGAGAGAAAGAATAGAAAGAGAGAGTGAAAGGGAAAGAGAAACAAGGAAAGGTGGGATAGAGAGAGAAAGAGTGCAGAGAGATTGAAGTTGGAGAGAAAGGGATAGAGAGGAAGAGGAGAAAGAAAAAGATAAGGAAGAGAGAAAGGGACAGAGAGAGCGTTGAGGTTGAGACAGAAGAAGGAAGTGTGTTAGAGAGAGAGGAAAGAGACTGTGAAATGATAGAGAGAGAAGAGCATTGAGGTCGAGGGGGGGAGAGGGAGAGAGAGAGAGAAAGGAAAAGGAAGGAGAGTGTTGATAGAGAGACAGAGAGACAGATAGAGGGAGAGAGAGGCAGACAGATGGCCGGACTGGAAGTGAAGGAGCGATCGCACAAGCAGCGAGAGAGAGCCGGAGATAGACTCTAAATGAAGATAACAGATTCGTGGCTGTACGTGGTGGATCCGTTGTCACGGTAGCGGCCAGCGCGGGATTTGGCTGGTGAGCTGCGGGGAAGCGCTGCTGGAGCAAGAACTTCACGGGCAAGCCGGACGGAGAGAGAAAGAGAACGATGCGGATCAGCTGATCACCCCCGTGCACAAGCCGGACGGACATTGTCACCTGGCGCTGAGCCAGTCTGCGCTCGTCATCGCCGTCCCTCTCTCTTTCACCTCTGTTTATCTGCGTCCTTGTTTCACCTGTTCTTTTCTGCTGCTGCTTAACCAAACCTTACCTTCACTCTCTCTGAAGTGCTCTTTGCTCTTTAATATATCTCGTCTGTTTCTTCATCTCTGTGTGTTGTTAGTGGTAGTTTGTTGTAGTGGAAGCTGGAGGTTTGATCAGAAAAAGCCTGCGAGCGTCTTCTGTTTTCTATTCTCAGCCCAGTTCACTCAGGGCATGCTGACCAGATGGAGCGAAAAAGATAGAGAGATGCAGCGTAGAGGTCTTGCCAGGGTGTTTATAAACTGTAGCCAGTGGGCATGAACTGGCCCTCCACATGAGCTGAATGTTCCCTGCTTGAAGACTGCACGCTTGATGTGTTTCACTTCTTAGTCTGTGTGGAGTTGAACCCGTGCTGAATGGGAAGTGTGCTGTTATCAGTAGTAATAGACATGAGGTGCCCTTGTAAGGGATTAACATTGTGGCAAATTGAAGTGAGCATGAATGGCTTATCAGCTGTAGTTTAATTACTGGCAGGTTCAGCACAGCTCTGGGATCAGAGCTTTTTTTTGTTGTTCAATGAAGAGAAGATACATAACCAACAACAAATGCCTTGCATGGAGGAGATGGATAACAGATGTATCAAAATGACACAAAAATAGTGCTGATCAAGGCTGAAGGTGTATATAAGATATATGTAGTGCTAATTAAGGAAGGGTGAGGTATACCTGCATATAGACCTGTAGTAGTTCTTTAACGTGACCGATCATTAGGTAGTACAATAAAAAGCCTTGGTTTTTGGCTCTCTGTATATAGTTTGTGAACATGTTAATAAATGAAAGGTGAGGTTTATGTAATTACCTGCATCAATGCGGAACAAGATGACACGTCATAAGGGTATACGCTGAAAAGGGTAGTGTCAAAACTAGTGTCAGGGGCCAGTTGTCTCGCTACCATTTCTGTTACCTTGGTGCTCGGCCCCCTGCGCATTGCCCTGCTGGAGCCCCATGAGTGCCCCGGCCGCGGAGGCCTGGCTGGGAGATGAAGCAGTCGTGCCCTCTGCTGCTCTAGCGGCCCTGTGGGCCCTCATGGCTCAGGAAGGCCCCTGCCCCTCTGGCCCCGAACCTGCCCCTGCCCCCTCTACCTCCTCCTCCCCGCCCCCTCTGGCGTCTCGCCGCCGTCGCCAGGCCCGTCCCGGGACACCACGGGCTTCTGCCGCCCCGTCCCAGCAGCTCCCGACATTAGCCCTTCTGGCTCGGACTCGTTTGCACGGCCTGCGTCAGGCCTGCACTCCGGCCAGTTCTGTGGGCCGCCGGGCTTTCTGGACGCTGGCCCTCTGCACATCGGTAGGCCTGCTGTTGTCCTGGTCATCAAATCGCCTGCTACACTGGCTGGCCTTCCCCACACATACACGAGTACACACAGAATGGGCACGAGAACTGGCCTTCCCCGCTGTCACCATCTGCAACAACAACCCGGTACGCCTCTACCGCCTCACCAAAAGCGACCTCTACTTCGCTGGTCACTGGCTGGGCCTCTTGCTGGCCAACCGCACAGCCCGGCCACTGGTGCTGGACCTGCTGCATGAGGAGAGAAGAGCTTGGTTCAGAAAACTCTCAGACTTCCGACTCTTTCTGCCACCGCGGCACTTTGAAGGGACCAGCCTGGAGTTCATGGACCGGCTGGGACACCAATTGGAGGACATGCTGCTAGGCTGCAAGTACAGAGGAGAACCGTGTGGTGCTCACAACTTCTCCACAGTGAGTGTGTCTCTGTCTCTTTCTCTAGCTAGCTCGCTGTCTCTACATCTCTCTATCTCTTCTCCTTAGTTTTAAGATCTTGTTGAGGTAGTCATTTGTTCACCAGCGAAGTAATGCAGGGATGTATGCTTTTGTATGCTTTGCTGTTCTCTCTAGACTTAACTGTTGCATTAAATATGCCCTTTATTTTCTCCTATTTATTTTTATTTATTTGTTAAAGGCATATTTTGGCTTACACAATTTTCTCCTTATGCCAAATGTGTCCAAAGTTTGCATCTTTAGTTTTGCACTGGAGCTACGACGATAATGTAGCTAACAAGTAGTGTAAGCTTATACCTCACCAATTAGCATTGTGCAAACTGCATGCCTAGATCATCATGTACAAGTTGTTAAGTAATCTCAAATTATGTGGTCCCTTATGTGTTGTCTGACTTTATGCATAGCTATACAATGGATTTTGCCAGCTTTTAGAGATAGCTGTATGACATAGTGTCAGAAACCACATAGGCAAGTCTTTTTGAGATAACAGAACAACTTGACACAGTTTTGGTCAAGCGCAGTTTTAATGATGCTAATTGGTGGTGTTTAAGCTTCCATTACTTGTTAGTTTGAGTGCAGAACTAAAGAAGCAGATTTTAGACATCAAATATGTCTTGGTTGTTTGACTACATTTGGGGTCATGAGAGAAAACTGTGTGAATATTTTTTTGCTAAAGTTTCACTTTGAGGCTCTGCTTTTCAGCTCAGTTCTGAGGACTCTCTTTCTCTACTGCTATGAGTTCATTCTTTCTGTGAAGTCTTCAGTCTTATTTTTTCCTCAGGCTTTGTGTTTGCTGCATTTCTCTGCTGGGTCATCTTCTGAATGCCTAAAACACATCATTAAGTGTCAATCCTAGCTGACCCTGTACGTGTCTGGCTTCTCTCTACCTTGCACCATCTGTTTGTTTGGCACCATTGTGCCTTGGAGCAAGTTTATGCACAGACATGCTTTCATTTTAGTATAACTAAGACTGCAAGTGTAACTAAGCTATGATCACATAAGAGAGATTATTTATTGTTGTGGCTTTGCTTACCCTAAATAAAATATCTAGGCTGAAATTGTTTGGCTTTGATGTGAGGGCGTTTTCCCATCACATTAAAAAAATAAATAAATAAATAATTAACCCAAAAGAAAACCAGTAGCAATTAGGGTTATAGCAGTAGTTCATTTTCCACCTGCTTAGGAGGCAGCTGGAACCACCACAAGAACCAATCTTTTTGGCCATTTTGTGACATTTTAAAATGTCTAATATGGCTAATCGGCTACATTGCTTTGCTAGTTATAATTAGCATACTTACTGGCTGATACCATGCGATATATGGCACTATTTTGCCATGACAGTTACACAGAATCATGTGCCGAAGATTATATTTTTCTCTGTTGTGATACGAATCTTCATCTGTAAAAGCCAGTAGTGTTAGCTTCCTGACTGGCTTATGTCAGCTTTGATAAACTCTTTAAAAAAATTTTTTTCCATTCTGCTGCACTTGTTGATGATGTAATAGTGCTTGGTGACTTGATCCTGACCTGCAGTGTAAATAACATTTGATATGTTACAAAGTAAATATGCTGTCTTAAAAATTTCTAATAGTTTGTTAACTAAACAGTCCTCTTTTTACTTTGGGTATGCTGTTTCAGGCAAAAATGGGGCGACAGTTAAAAGGTTGAGACACTGAGTATGTTTTTTTGCACTGTGGAAGGGTAGAAAAAATCATAAATTGTCAGTGACTTCAGCTGCAAGTATTACAGACAAATGAGAACATCCTCAAATACCATTAGGTCCTGTTTTTCCCAATCTTTAGCAGGTACCAAAACTAGAACCTTTGATAGTGCACTGTAAACCCTGATAAGTTAAGTTTGCTTGAAGTATTGGAGGTAACTTGCTGCCTAAAATGAAAAAGTTTTAAAACTCAGTTTTTTAAGTTGTCTGAAATTAAACATGCAGTAGCAACTAATTGGCAAAAATTAAGTAATTGGAATTTTATTGTTTAGGTCCAAATAACATCAAGGCTTTCAGTGTGGACCGATGGCAATTGACGAAGCACAGTTCCAGTGTTCTGGTGCCAAATCTTCTGGTACTTTGTGAAGTGGAAAAACACCCTAAGTACATTTTGTTTTGTATTGCATTGATTCAGTCCAGTCTTTTTTGGTGCGGATCTGTCACCAAAGAACTGAATTGTGGTCTGGCATAAAGTGCAGGTCCCTGTCCTCTTCCAAGCAGTTCCTGGTTCAGTTTGCTGCTGGTGGGATTTTTAACATGACTCTTGACGGACGCTTCTATCTTTCCATGCTGTTGCTACTAATTTTTTACTGATTTATTTATTTATTTATTTATTTATTTTGTTGGCATAGTAAATTTTGCGCACTCCGATGTCTTTTCAATTCTGCAGTCTCTTTCTCAGTTGCATTTGTGCATTCAGAATAGCTCTGGACTGGAAGGGAAACTGGGAAAGAAGTTTAGCCATAATCAGTCGTGATCACACCATGGATGATGAGAAGGAAGTGTTGGATTGGTGGAAAGATTTCAGCTTTCTTGCACAGCTTGCCCAGAGTGTGTAAGCATTCCTGAAAATAGAAGCGATAGCGAGTAGAGGAACTTTGTAACAGTTTGAGAGGAGAGTGGGCACTGTTTTCTGCCTTGTTTTTCTTACAAAAATACTATTAGTGTTATAGATCTGTATAAAATACCAGTTTACCCCAGCAACTCATTTCCTTAGTAACAAAGTAATGGAAGAAGTAACAAATGGCACTGGAAGAATGTAACTGCTGCACCATTTAAGGTGGAGCAGAAACTTTGAATAAGACGCTGATGAATGAGCTTTTAGCAGGTTTGAGTTGAGTTCAAATCTCAAATTTAGCAGCGCCGTTAGGGCCTGATCAGGTTGGGCTCTAAGTTTGCAGGTACGGGTCAGGTTTGGGCTTCAGTTTCATGCCTGTGCAGACCTCTAGAAGATGATGCTTCTTCTCTTCCGTCTCTTTGGCTATTGATCATGCTTGAGTGTAGGAGTACAATTTGGGGCAAAAGATAAATGGCAAATCTGCACTGGAAAGGAAAACAAGATTAGAGATTTTTGATTAGGCGGCTGATTTTTAGATCTTGTAATGAAAGTGTAAATGAACAGAAAACAATTCGGTGACGGAAACAGGGAGAGATATTGAAACCTGGATTTAGTAAATGGGATAGGGATTAAGTGAGGCACTGAAATATGCTATGACGCTATGCTTTTTTTTCTGTGACTCAGAAATGGTAATTTGCTATGATATGATAAGTCTCGGGGTGGGGAAAAAGAGCTTTATAGGGGGATTTAGAGATTTGCATATGTTTGGTTAAGTTGGCATATGGCATCAGGCATATGCTGCATATAGCAGCATGAATGCGGACAGGTGCCGGAGCTTGAATTGGCTCGTGTTATAATCTGCTACATGTGCCAGAATTGTGCACATGGAGCAGGTATTTGGATTTAAAAGGCCAACAGTAAAAAGTACAATGAGACTTCAGCGTGTCCACTCCCTGCCTTTGTCTCTCTGTGTCTCTCACTCTTTCTCTCTCTCTCTCTCTCTCTGCTGTGATTTCTCATGTGCTGTGATGTGAGAAGGGGAACAGAGGCAGATGTTCTCTCTGAGGCTGTGCAGCCGTGAAGCTGCTCTGTGGGGAAACTCCCCTGCAAGTGTGTGTCTGCTCCACCACACGCCCTCACACTCAGTCTTAATTAGACCTTGATGTCACAGCGGCATTTCCTCTTTGGTTTTTTGTTGATGGCTCTGCAGTCTGTTGATACTCCATCACCACAGGTGTTGCCTCCATAATAGCTCCTGCTGAGTGTACCTTGAGTTTTTTGTTGATGTAGGCTAGTAGAAAGAATAGTTTTGTTGAATTAGGGTAATATTTGATTTGAAGTAGTTTTGAAGTTCTTTCTACAAAAGCTCATTTTTTATTTATTAATTAATTAATTTTTTTGCTGAAAGAGGTTAAAGTTATGGTTATGTTTAGGGTTAGGCTTGGAAAAGACTAATTACCTATGGTCAGTGGCACATGAAAACCTTTTACTTCCATATGATATTTTTTTTTAGTTTTTACACCACTGAACTTTGGAGACTGAACTTTGGAGGTGTGGAAAAATGTCCCTGCAGATGTATTTGAAAAACTGAAAACAAGTCTTCTAAAAAGAATGGAACCTGTTTTAATATTGGTTTTAATGTTGTAGATTTCTATGCAATTTTCTGTTACATTTGTTTTCTGCCTTTTGATTATTTTATTAATGTTAAAACTATTAACAACTTGTAATTAATAACTAAAAACAAACATTTTTGTGTGTTTGTGTGTGTATGTGGTATGTGAGGGTGCATACACAGGCGTGTGTTTGTGTATATATGTTTGTTTGTTTGTGTACCAGCCCTCTCTGTCCCTTTATTAAAGGTAAATCCACTCTAGCTTAGCCCAGGCGCCTTTCATAAGAAGGTAAACACACGCTCAGCGTGGTGGAGGCCACTCTTCTTCACCTTGCTGCCACTCTTTATCATCTTCCTCCTCATCGGCTTAGCTTCGCTCGCCCCCTCATATTCATTAACTCACTTTCTCTGGGTGGAGAGAAAAACCCACTGGAGGAGCGGTCGCACTTGCTGGTGATAATTGCTGATTATTTCTGCAGATAACTGAGGATAATTACTGTTGGTAATTGATGATAGTCAGCCAGTTCTTGAATATGACTCAAACAGATTCCCAGTTAGCACGTTGAGTTAATGTTATCAGCATAAACCCAAAATTATATTATTTTTGGATTATCTCTCTTTTTTTTTTTGATGTTTCTGTAAGGTATTATGTGTGCAGACTTGTTTTATGAAAAATCTATTTTTACTATATGTTTTGTCATTGATTACCGTAGAAACAAATGGAAAAAGTTTGAAGTGTAGATTAAAACCTGACAATATAGAATGTATGTTGAATGTAAATGTTATTTAGT